ATTGAGCACTTGTTGTGTGCAAAGTCTAGAAACAACTGAGCTCATGGGAAACAAGCTGAGGACAGGGTTACCGGGGAGTAGACAGCTGGCCCCTGAAGCCTGGGCGTGTGAGGATTTGCCAAGGGAGGGCAAACAGTGCCCGCGGGGCTGTGACAGAGGTCAGTTAAGATAAGGACCGCAGGCCCTTCCGGCAGCTCCTTGTCAGAGGCCATAGCAGGTTCAGGGAGATGAAGAGAGAGAGAGAGAGAGCCAGACTGCCCGGTGCTGGAGGTGAGTGGGTGGTGAGGATGCAGAGGCAGCCGGTGTAGACAACAGTCTGAACAATTTGGCTCCAGAGGGCACCAGCCAAGACTGTTCTAGAGGGGGCGGCGGGAGGAGGGGTGTTGGCAGGGAACGGGGAGAGTTAGGGGGAGTGAGCTGTGGTCACGGGTGCACTCAGATGCCTGGGAGCTCGGGAGGCAGGAACACAGCACAGACAGAAAATGAGCTCTGAACTGGAGTAACGGGCAAGGCCTGACAGCGAGGGAGGGAGGTGAGGGCAGGAGCGTGGCGATGTGCGGGTGGAGAGTGAGGAAATCCTGCTTCACGGAATCCTTTCCCTTAGGAGCTCAGTCCAGGGATCTCTGAGGCCTCCTCGAAAACAGGACTATTCTACCCTTGGCCCCTGATAAGGGAGTGTGATGGGCTGAATCGTGTCCCCTCCCCAAATTCAAATGTTGAAGTTCTAACCCCCGGCACCTCAGAATGTGACTGCATTTGGAGATGATGGTAATCAAGGGTAGGTGAGGCCACATGGGTGAGGCCCTAAACCAATGTAATTAGTGCCCTTAGAAGAGGAAGACACACAGGGATGCACACACACGGAGAAAAGGTCATGTGAGAGCTCAAGGAGGAGGGGGCCATCTGCAAGCCTTGGAGAAGAGCCTCAGGAAAAACCAAGCCTGCCTCCAGCTTGATCATGGACGTCCAGCCTCCAGCACAAGGAGAACATAGATTCCCACCATGTTATTGGGTGCAGAGTTGGTGGGGGATAGGGTGCACATATTGGCGCACGTATCGGGCTTTGTACTGACTCGGTGTAGAACCACCATGAAATACAACCCTAGGAAACCAAACTCAGAGAGGCTGACCCTAAGAGTGATGGGCTGAGTCGTGTCCCCTCCCCAAATTCAAATGTTGAAGTTCTAACCCCCCGGCACCTCAGAATGTGACTGCATTTGGAGATGGGGTCTTTAAGGTGGTAATCAAGGTTAGGTGAGGTCACATGGGTGAGGCCCTAAACCAATGTGGTTAGTGCCCTTAGAAGAGGAAGACACACAGGGATGTGCACACACACACACACACACACACACACACACACACACGGAGAAAAGGTCATGTGAGGGCTCAAGGAGGAGGGGGCCATCTGCAAGCCTTGGAGAACAGCCTCAGGAAAAACCAAGCCTGCTTCTAGCTTGATCATGGACGTCCAGACTCCAGCACAAGGAGAATATAGATTCCTGTGTTTTAAGCCCCTCAGCCTGTGTTATTTTGTTATCGTAGTCTGACCAGGAACAGGAAGTGGTAAGAAAAGAGGTATAAGGGCTTTATGTTGAAGTCACCAGCATCTGTGGCCCTTGGAACATTACTATTAAAATCTAAAAAGCATAAAAAATGTGTTAAGCAAAACAAAGAAGATATTTCCACTCAGAGGATGGGCTTTGGATTTCAACGGACCCACGTGTTCGATCCGGCAAGTCACATGACCTTCCTGAGTCTCAGACTTTTTGTTTGTAAAAAGGAGCTAACAAAGTCCACCTCAGAGGGTCCTTGTGAAAGTGAAATGAATTGAAATCTGTAAAAGCATTGAGCACACCACCTGGCAACCACCGGCCGATGTTACTGGGAGAGGTGGCATGTAATTAGGCTGTGTGACTTCCTTAGTGTAAGTGAGAGATAAAGGAATTCCTGGGGCGAAAGTGCTCGCATTCCCACCATGTTGTTGGGTGAGGAGTTGGTGGGGGATAGGGTGCACATATTGGCGCACGTATCGGGCTTTGTACTGACTCGGTGTAGAACCACCATGAAATACAACCCTAGGAAACCAAACTCAGAGAGGCTGACCCTAAGACGTGTGCACTCAGCATTACCCCCGGCACACAGGAGGCAGCCCAGAGGTATTGGCAAATGCATTTATGAAGGAAGAGAATTCGCTGAGAACATTAAAAGGCTGAATATCTACAACCACCTGCTGGCGGGTGTATTAGTCAACACTCTGTGTTGCAAGGGACAGGACCCATTCACACCAGCCTAAGCCAGAAACTTAAAATAAAAGTTAAGAATTTACAAATGGAGGGGGTGGAGGAGGTTTACAAATTGTCTTGGAAACTGACAAGTCCAGATCCTGCTTCAGGCATGGTTGGATCCAGCGACAAAGAGATGTATGGCCGGCCTTGGCTTTCCACCCGGGCAGGTGCACTGCAGGGCTAGGTCCTGAACACTCCCCTCAGGCTTCCACCCTCTCTGCGCCCAGCAGTTCACCCTGAAGACAGGAACCCTCCCTTCCAAACAGTTCTAACTCCAGTCTTAAATTGGCCCTGAGCCGCCCGGCCAGAGTCACCAGACCATCCTTATCCCATCGGCACTGCTCCAGGGCGTGGAGTAGGGGAGGGGTCATTTCCCAAAGGAAAAGCAAGGAGCTCCCTCCAGCACAAGGGACACTGGTTTCCAGGCAGGCGCGGGCCACTGCTGCCCGCTGGGCTGAGTGTGTGCGGAGAGGAGACAGGGCACGCAGGGTGCCTAGGTAAGTGGGAGTGGGAAGCATGCCACCTGGAGGACACAGATAGAGGGGTCGCGAGAGCCGTGCTGGGGCCAGGCGGGGCCAGGGGCGCAGAGGAGTTAAGGAGGCTGTTAAGAGGAGTTAAGTTAAGCAGGTGCCCGGCCAAGGGGGCGTGCGGTGCATCGATTGCAAAAATGGCCCTGCTTCTTACCCTCCCTGGATCCCCTCAATGTGCCTTTACAGCATCTCTCACCAAGCATGGAGCGGCCTTCCCTTCCCCCAGGCCCCGGGCTGGCTTTGTCACTTGCTTTGAGGAGACTGTGGTAGGAGGGACGGTATGCCAGTCCTGAGCTCAGGCCACCAGGGGACATCTGGGCCTTTGCTTGTCGCTCGGACCCCTGCCTCCACCCTGTGAACCATCCTGGCCATCCGGCTGGAGGACGAGAGGCCACATGGAAGCACCCAGCTGTCCCAGGAAGGCCCCGGGCCTGGGAGGGAGCCCTGTGGGGCTGCAAGCTGACCCCAGATGATGCACACACACGAGTGAGCCCACGGGCCCAGCTCAGAGCAGTAAGTGGCTGCTGTTTTAAGCGACTGAGGCTTTTGTTTTGTTGTTGTTGATCCTCAGCTGAGGATACTTTCCCATTGATTTTTAGAGGGAGTGGAAGGGAGAGCCAAAGAGAGAGAAACATGGATGTGAGAGACACATGGATTGGTTGCCTCCCGCACATGCCCAGACCAGGGCCGGGGAGGAGCCTGCAACCAAGGTATGGGCCTTTGAACAGATGGAACCTAGGACCCTCGGTCCGCAGGCCGACACTCTACCCGCTGAGCCGCAGCAGCTGAGCTTTGGGACAGCTGGTTCCATGGCATGTGTGGCCAATAGGTGGCCGATGGACGGCAGGTGAAGCTGTGCTCCCTGGCCTGGGGCTGCATCTGCCACCCGTTTCTAACTCGCAGGGAAATGCCACACGGGTTCCCGAGTGCGGGTCACCCCGTGCCTGGCCTGGGGGAGTCTCTATCCTCTGCGATCTCCTGTGGGCCTGCACTGGCCTCCGGCCACGCTTCTCAGACGCAGCTGTGGGAAGGCGTGGAAGTCACCCAGCACGGGCAGCTGGGGAGAATGCGCCACTGGCCACCTCTGGCTCCGCCCGCCCGCCCTGGGATTACGCCTTTTGGTTTAGAGATTCCTATGTGGTGGCTACCGAAGGGGAACCAAACAAAGAAAAGAACACCCATGGCCTCAAAGAGGGGCTGGGAGCCTGGCGGGAACGGGAAGGGTCAGAAATCACAAGGACGGGCCGGTCCCCATCTCTGCAGAGCAACGTGGGCCGTTCGGCCTCAGCGGTGGCGGGGGTGGGGGGTGGGGGGGTACTCCGAGAGACGGGCCTAGAGCCCGGATCAGAGTCCCTGGGAGAAGGTTGAGGAGAGAGGCGACAGGGAGCTGCCCGAGGCCAGGGCCTGCCAGCTGGAGCCTGGACAGAAGTCAACGCGCCCTCCGGCCCGCGCACCCCTGCGCCCAGGTAGCTCCAGACACAAGTACAGCTGCTGGGATCCCAGAAAGTCCGAGAGGGTGTCCCTCCCCCCGAAGCCTGCTTTTCTCACAGACCCGTTCCAGGGACCATCACAGACCCATCTGTCAGCCACCACGTCCTGTCCAGGCGCCACCCGGTCGTCTCTGTCTCTCCGGCCTGCCTCTGACACCCATCCCGCTGCCGGACTGCTTGGAAACTGAGTGACGTCTGCCCCCCCCCAGCCCCCTCCCCCATAAAGCCTCAATGCTGCTGCCCAACATATCGGATCTTCCTCACCCAGCCCTTCACTGTTTCTCTCCTGCTCCCCCCCCCCCCCCCCCCCTGGGTGCTTTTTCCTCCAGCTTCCAGCAGCCCTGAGGCCCGGCTGGGAGAGGGGCCTGCAGCTCACAGTGCCCGGGGGTGGCGTGCTCAAGGGCCTCTGCCTCCCTCTCCAGGGTTCGGGTCCAGGAGGTCTGTGCCCCCCGATGACGACCCCCAGGGCCCGTGGGAGCCAAGCCATGGAGGAGCAGACAGCAGAGGCCGCCAGGGCCCTGGCCACTCGCAATTCACCTGCAGGTCACAGCCCCCCACCCCTGAGTCCCCTACCTCCTGAGGGTTCGGGCGGCAGCCCTTGCTGGCGTGCCTGGGGGCCAGGTGGCATGAGGTGCAGAGGGCCCGCAGAACCAGGGCACAGCCAGGCCAGGGAGCGATGGCGGCCCTCCGGGGGGTCACCTTCCCTGCGAGTGCACAGTGGCTCCTGCACCCCGGCACTCAGGCTGGGGCTCGGCCGGGAGATGGGGTCCCGCAGAACCCCGACCTTCGCAGTGGCTGACGTTCAGTGCTGAGGTAGCTGGAGACATGGGCTCCGTGGGCACAGCAGCCCGAGGTCCCAGGCAGGAGGGGTCCAAGGGGTGGGCGAGGCCCCAACCTCGGTGGCTCCCAGGCCGAGGCCGCAGCCTCTGGTGTTCCTCTCCACACCCAGGCTGAAGGGGGCGTGGTTGCGCTGTCACCAGGCCAGGGGCGAAGCCATG